AGTGATAGATGTTGTGTCATTTGTGTGGGTGTTTATTTACACTCAACACAGCCTGATCATTGCATAAATCAGATGGACCCACCCAGTGTGAAAAAGATTACTTCATATGAGATTGTGCGCAATACCTTCCTCCATATCTGTTGAGACACACACACACACATTTAGACAGTCCGTTTGTTGACATTCTCCAGTCCACCGGTCGGTCACCTGAACGCGATAAGCAATAACCGACTACTGTGCAACTCTGCATCTACCTTTGAACAAACTGCCCTGTACCATCACTTCCCGGTCACCTCTTACCTTCTAAATGGAACGTATTGTGAACAGTGCATCACCGTGTGGCGAGGGAAACGGTAGCGAAGTATAAAACACATCAATTAATCAGAACAATCAGTTCATCTTAGTAGCGTCATTCCGAGATGCATGAAGTCCTTCTACGCTACGCTCTTCCGATCCGAGGACAATCACGTTCACCGGAAAATGATGATGATTTGGCGGTGGACATCATAGCTCCATTACTACTGGATACGATTTCAGCTGGGTGCGCAGATCGTTTATTCCTTAATGTGCAGATACACAGGGGTAGAGGAGTCAACTTCAGTTTAACATTAAACAATCAAGATGTACTGAAGGATCTAACCGCAAAACAATTCTCCGTTTGGTGCACAATGCGCTTAGCAAATAGAGCCACCAATGTTTCGGCTAGTCTATGAAGACCCTGGTGTTGTGAGATACTACTAAAAGTTGTGAGTAGAACACAAAATGTGATTGACAGTTTCTTCCAACGGTCAAAAATGAACAAGACCCCTTAGAGCGAATTGCTATGCCTCAAATAATAAGTACGGACTGTACCATTCATTACCCTGTGTGCTGCCGGCAGTTGTGATGACATGTCTAAAATGAGATATCTTGTTAGACATATGCCAAATTATCGACATCCCAATCATAATCCGCAATAAACAACTATCCTCGCCCAGGCACCGCCTTGTGAAATTCTAACACTGATAGAAGAATAAAAGAGTGTGGGAAAGAACATTAATCAAAACCAACAAATGCACGAGTCAGATATGCCGATAATGAAAAGGGGATGAGGGATAAAGTACTCTACAAAGACGCTAAAGTTTCGCTGATTGCGGTTAGTAGTAACTAAATCATTGATGGAAGTACAGCCTGACTGTTGTCGGGCATGACTTTGTACTGGTCAGTAAACGAACTGAGACCAAGGCTAAAAGAACACAAGCGAAGGAGAAATAACCACGGGAAGTAAAAAGAAACGAGCTGTCTAACGTCCACTACTCACTGCCTTCTCGTGGCGGAGCTGTTTTCCCAACAAAGTAAGAAGACAAATAGCCGACATTCAGGTTGGCGGATAACTGGTAATCCACCAACGAAAGTTGGCCAAAAGCTCTGATTCCAAACCAACCAAGAACAGGCGTACAAACCACACACCTTCCCCATTATGATAGTGGTCACAGGCTCCATTGGGCACCTCGGACTTTTGACTCCATCCGAAGAGCATATGATCCGATGAACTGGACACCGGCCCCCAATAGATTGCGTTTTTCACACACGGCTCCGCTGCCCTGCAGGTCCGGCTTTGGCTAGCCGAAAGCTCCGGTTTTGGATTCCTCAATAGAATTCACCTACCTTGGCCTGGGCAACCTGACAGTATACAGTCCACAAACCAATCATGGAACGTCTTTGTTTCTTGTACCATAAATTGTTTGGCACACTGTCATCAAATGTGTGTGAAATACATATATAATATATTCGATTGCTATTGAAACTAATTAGCACTCAGACAGGAGAAACCTCTACTGACACTTATCCCGTTAATTCTTTTTTCCAACAATAATGTATAATGAATATTTCAAGACCTATTTTGTTTATTGAGTATAAAAATTTACAGGCAAATTTCAAGAATGGAGCCGCGGTCATACAATGGCTGCCTGAGGGAATACAGAAATAGGGATGATGACGGGTGGCGGCGCTGGCAGGATTTAAACGGAAGAACTCCGGGTCACTATGTTGATGAGGATCTTAATCACTCTACCACCTTACAACCTCATTAAGCCCCTGATTGTGTTTCCCGAACGAATTACTTCGGAGCAAATCAAAGTACAACAAAGTGCCGGATTCGGATAAATTCAGAGTAGATGTCAAAAACCTCACAAAGGTCATGTAAAACGGAATAAACGGTACCGGAGAAAACG